GTCGCTGCCGACCCGATGCCGTGGCCTGCTATGTCGTCGATGACGTTGACGACCCTGCCGGCTGGCAGCAGCGCCCTGGCCTGGAGCAAGAGGCCGTGCAACATGAGCCTGGTCAGCGTCGTCGCGCAGGAGCAGCCCGCGATGATGGTGCCGCTGACATCAATGGGCTCGCTGATGGCGGCGTCCGCCGAGGCGCGGCGCGGCCCAGCGTAGAGTACGCAGAGGGCCCTGAGCAGACCGACGCTGAAGCCGTTGCCCTCCGCGGCCTGGCGCAGAAGGTCATGGTCGATCCGCTCGTGGGACTTGCTGGTGTCGAAGTGGACGGAGGCTGCCTCGAAGCCAAGCTGGCGGGCGAGCGCGAGCCCCAGGTTGTGGAGGTAGGCCGCCCTGTCACAGCAGGTGTTCGCGTCCTTGCCCCAGACCTCGGGGAGCGGGTGGTCCGCCTCCCACTTGGCGCAGTAGCGGCGGCGCACCCTGCTCCAGATACGCGTCCACATGCTCATGATGCCGATCGGGCGGCGGCCTCCGTCGGGCTTCCCCAGGAAGACGATCACCGTGGTGAAGAAGGCTGTGGGCTGCGGCTGCTGCTCCCAAGCCGTGAGCACCTCTGCCATCCTCTCGGCGAAGGGCCTGCCCAGGGAGAGGACCAGCCGCGGGTGGAACGCATCCCAGCCCAGAGCGGTCTGCTTCGGGAACGATTTCGCCGCCTCGAGGATGTCGTCCGCCGTGATAGGGGGCAGCTCCATGGAGCAGATCCAGTCGGCTGGTCTGGACCTGCACTCCCCGTCGGCACCTTTCCAAAGGGCCTTCCACTCAATGAGGATCTGGTCCAGGGCTTGCTGGCCAACAACTGGGAGCGGCAGGCTGTCGGGGCAGTGCGCGGTCACCGAGTCCAGCACCTGGTCACGCTTTGCCCCCTTCGCCAAGGCCTCGTCCACGAAGTCCTTCCAGCGCAGCCTGGCCGCCTTGGCGTCTTCTTTGCGGTGCCTCTCCGTCGTGCTCTCGATCATCTGCAGGAAGGCCTGCCCTTGCTCGGTGGGCTCCTGGATCACGTCTATCAGCGAGTCAAGCTTCGAGCCTTCGAACATGGTGCAACCCGCCTGCTCGAACTTGGGCCCCAAGCTCTTTGCCACCTGCACCAGGTGCTTGATGTAGCCGACGTGCCCCACAGGGGGTGAGCAGACCGCGGCAGCCGCCCTGAGCTGCCTGGCGATCCTCCCGAGGCAGAGCCAGCACTTGGTGATGGGGCTGAGCTTTCTGACAGCCTCCGTGCGCTGTAGGTCCGCCAGCTTCTTCATGACGGTGCGGGGACCTTTGGCCCTGCCCTGGTACCTCTCTCCCTCGTAGATGCCGAACTGGTCGATCAGGTGGAGCTCCGCGGCCTCGAAGAACTCCTTGATCGCCGCATCGGGCGTGCCGTCTCTGTCGGTGATGGGGGCTGTCCAGCTGATCTGGGTCGCCGCCTGCAGGGATATCTCACGCTGCTCGGCCGAGACCTCCGAGCCCACCTCGAAGACCCTGGGGGTCTTGAGGACCCAGACCATGGCGTTGCTGCCCAGCTCGCTGAACGTGAGCCGCACTGGTGCGTGCGGGTTCAGTGCAGTGGGCTTGATGACCTCCACCTTCGGGCTGAGGCCGGCGAGCGCCGTGGAGATCACGAAGAAGTCGTAGATCTGGTCGCCGCAGGTGAAGGTCGCGGGCGCGACTACCACCCCGCCCACAGCCCGTGGCCACCAAGAGGCGGCGAGCACGCTGGGGTCCATATTCCAGTCGGCCCCCACTATGACGGCTCGTGGAGGCTGAACAGGAACTCCTGGAGGTCCGACAGCAGCTCCAGGTTGTAGCCAGCCATCCTGGTCGTGTGCTCGAGGTAGGCGCTGACCACCGTAACCACGAGATCGCCGAAGGCCACCCGTCGGGCCAGGATGCGGGCACTGTGCTGGTGCCAGTCGTGGTCGATAGCCGCCGCGCCCCTAGACTTTGACGTCAGCACCCCGACGCCCGCCGAGACCGCCTGGGCCGCCTGCCCCGTGCTGTGGACGCTGCCGAAGGCAGCGCTGAAACAGCTGCGCCTGGCCCAGCTGCAGGCGTCAGACGCCTTCTGGCTGGAGGTGAAGCGTGTCTCCTGCACCAGGATGACGTCGTCGCCTCCTCCTTCGTCCTGGATCCGCTCCAGCTCCACCTGCGTCTCTGTCCAGGTCGAGCCGTTCAGTGTGACGAAGCTGGCTCGCCTCGCTCCCACTGGCCTGATCAGCTTGGCCAGCTGGAGGGGCTTGACCTGCGGCCGACCAGGCCGAGGCTGCGCCGCAGGCTTCACGACTGCCGCGGCGGCCGAGCGGCCGCCAGGCGGGCGGCTGCTCGCCGCCTTGGGTCTCCGAACCTCGGGGGGCCTCACGCCCTCGCCCGTAGCCTGGTCAACTTGAAATGCGTACCCACTATTCCTTATGGGCCCCTGGCTGGGCTGAGGACTGCCAGTCCTTCGGTCGGGCCCAGCCAAGTCTGCCGCAGCGCTTGGCTCTGGACTGCTGCTGAGTGCCTCGAACTTGGTGTCGTGGCGCGCGTCATCAAAGCGCCGGTCCTGGCGCAGCAGCGGCACTCTGAAGGGAAGCCCTTCCCAGGCGTCGGCCTGCTCATTGGCCGCCAGGTAGGCGTGCAGGCCGCCTCTCGATGGCGCCGCCGCCTCGGGGCGGCTGGGCTCCGCCGCCTCTGCCTCCTCAGCCCCGACTGGGGCGGGCGGCGCCGCACCGTCGGGGCCGACTCCTGGCAGCAGGGTGCTACCCGCAGGTCTGGCCACTGCCAGCAGCAGCGCCAGCAGCAGGTGGAGGGGCCGCCGCAGCGGCCTTCTGGTCGGCTGCGCGCTGGCGGGCCGCCTCGTCTGCCGCTCGGCTCTCCACAGCGGCCGCTGGGGGGGGTCCAGCTCCTGGCGCAGCGCCTGCGGCTGGGGCGGCGGCGGCAGCAGGGGCGGCCGCCTGTCCTGAAGGTTGAGGCGGGGCGGCAGCACCCTGCTCGGGGGTGCCAGCGGCCTCGGCTGCTGCAGGCCCCTCCTCGGAGCGCTTGCGCTTCTTGGCCACCTCCTCCTCGATCTGGCGCTTGATGCGCTGCTGGTGCTCCTGGCAGTTGCGCTCGAACGTAGCCTGCGCGCCCTGCATGATCTGGAGCCCTTCCTCGCAGAGGCGCCTGAGGGTGGCCTGCGCCTCCTCCTCCAGCTCCGCGAAGTTGTCGAACGACTCCGCGTCGAAGTTGAAGGTGAGCTGCTTCGCTCCGTCGGGCTGTGCGCCCACAACGCCAGCCGCCTGGGCCCGCTGGCGCAAGAGGGCGTTCCCCTCCTCCTTGGCCTCCGTGAGGTTGACCGCAGCCTCGTCGCGCCAGCCGCGGCACTGGGCGAGGTGGTCCTCCGCCGCCACGAGCGCATCCGCCGCCTCGTCGAGCTGGCGCTGGAGGTTGATCCGCTTCGCCGTGGCAGACTGCAGCCGCTGCTCGAGTGGCTTTGGCGCTGGGGCGGCCGCGGGCGCGACGAAACACCGCGCGTCGCGGACCGCCTCCTGCAGCCTGGCCGCGATGGCGGGGTCCCCGCATGCGAGGAGCGCGTCGAGCTCGCTCTCGGGCAGGGCCGACCAAGGGGCCTTCGGGAAGGCGCCTCCACCACGGCCGCCCGCGCCTCCGACGCCGCCGCCACGGGAGGCTGCACCGCCTCCGCCGCCACGGGAGGCTGCACCTCGGCCTTTGCCGCCCTTGCCGCCCTTGGCGCCATCCCTCGGTGAGCCTCCGCCGCCGCCTCCACGATGCGCGGGCGGGGAGCCGCCGCCGCCGCCATCCGCCCAGACCCCGACGCGGGGCGAAGGCTTCGAGGGCGCCAGCTCCAGCCCAATCCCACACTGCCAGCACTCCGCGTTCTTGCGGAAGTTCCAGCGGTAGCGGCAGCCCGTGCACACGACGAAGCCAGGCTCGGCCTTGGGCCCCATCGCTGGAGCGGGCGGGCGTGCTGCTCAGCCGCGGGCGTGCGGCAGGCAGGAGTCGACGGGGGCGGACCCACCGACTCGGAAGAAGGCGTGGCCCGCAGGTCCTGGAGGGTGCTGCGGTGGCAGCACTCGCAAGTTGGAAAGGAAGGTGGCCTCAAAGCGGAACCTCCCTCAATATCACCGCTGCCCTCATCAGCTAAGGAACCCTCCAGGGTCTGCAGCATCCTGGGCGCATTCCTTGACAAATGCCCCCACCGCACCTACCAGACCACCCGAACCAACCCAAC